ATAATATTGTTTAGTAAAGTAATTTTTTTTAAATATATGATAAAGTTTTGATAACTATTTTCGATTTTTTTTTAAATTACAAAATTGATAGAAACTTGCTTTGAGGAGGTAAAAATTAAGAAATAGAGGCCTAGAAGAATTGCAAGTTTTAAAAGCGGTCCATAAAATTATTTCTAGTTTTTACATCTTCTTCTCTAAAATATTAACTCAGAGCCTAAACCGCTAGAAATGGAAACATAAAATTTTCAAAGTAGATACTTTCTATAACATAGCTATCCACTAAGAAAAGATTTTTGGAAAATCAAACCCTAAGAGGGTTAAATGGAGTGTTGATTTCAAGATTTGAAGTTACATCTATAAAAATTGGTATTTAGGCTTTTGATTAAAAATGAATAAATACGTGTTTCTAGATTTTTAAAAATTCCACCCCTAAGTGGGTTTAGGCAGGGGTGAAAACTTGTTTAAAAGTCTGTATTTTTTTAAGTTATATCCATCAAATTTGGTATTAGGTCTTCGGTTAAAAATTAAAAAACACTTTTTCCGGGATTTCTGATTTTTCAAGATTTCTGTTTTTTCAAAATAAAAAACAACAGATCAAAAAAGCACAGAAAAAAAACAAGAGCATTAAATGTAAAAAAGGGAAGAATAGAGAGAAGAAAAAAAAATTGCAATAATATTGTTTACTAAAGTAAATTTTTAAATATCTGGTTTTTAAAACATTTTTGTAAACAAAACTAAAACAACAATTTTTAATTTAAATTAAAACGAAAGAACGGAAAACAGAGACAAAAAAGCGAGAAGTTGTTAACTAGAAAAAAATGTGTTTAACTAATTCCAATTATAAAAAAACCCACTGAAATTTTATTGTTTTCAGCTTAATTCTTTTAATTCCCAATTAATTCCGATAGTTTTAAGAAACTCAAAGTAATTTGTAAAAGAATAAATTATGTATGTAGTTTAGTAATTCTAGAAAAATTTTTGTAATTTACAAATAATACCGGTAATTTTATTAATCTATTGTAATTCTATTGTTTTTGGATTAATTCCTATAATTACAACTTAATTCCAACATAATTTTCGTAATTCTGCGAAATTTGACGTATCTAATTTTTAAAATAAATTATCTGATAATTCCAGTATTTCCAAAAAAATGTTACCAAGACTCAATTGCAGTAATTTTATTTCATTAGTTTTATTTATTTTTTTTTTAATTAATTTTAATTTTATTTATTTATTTCAGTAATTCTACTCCTAAGGGGGTAGCAAGAAAAAAATTTGTATAAATATTTATAAATTTGTCATTTTTAAAGCTATATTTATAAAAATTGGAATTGCGCTTTTGATTAAAAAATGAAGAAAAACGTTTAAAATTCCTAGAAATTCCAGCTCCAAAGAGATAAAACAGTTTGTATTAAAATTCCTCAATTTTTAAGTTATATCTATAAAAATTAGTATTTGGGCTTCAAAAGGGTTAAACAGAGGTGAAAATTTGTTTAAAGTTTGTATTTTTTAATGTTATATCTATAAAATTTGGTATTAAGTCTTCGGTTGAAAATGAAAAAACACTTTTTCAGAATTTAATAAAAAAAGCACACAGAAGAAAAACAAGAGCATTAAATGTGAAAAGGGGAAGAATAGAGAGTAGAAGAAAGATAGAAAATAAAAAATATTGCAATAATATTGTTTACTAAAGTAAATTTTTCAAATATCTGATTTTTTTTAAAAATTTGAAAACAAAACTAAAACGACAATTTTATTTTTTATTTTATAATAACATATACAGAAAAGAAATGTTCAGAAGCAGAGATCGAACCTTAAACTTTTGCTAATTTTTTATTTTCGAATTTTTTTCTAAATTACAAAACACTTTAATGAGGTAAAATCCGTCAAGTTTATTATATTTATCACATAAATATTAACATATTGCTTTGAGAAAAAAATTGTAAGTTTCACAAGCCGTCCATAAAATTATTTCTCGTTTTTACATAATTGATAAGAATCTAGTTTCATTTTAAGGACTTCAAGAGCTACATTACCTGAATGCTTTTTTCGTCATTTTTTCTTATGTAGAGAAATAAAACCGGGTAGAATTAGCTGACTCATCCTGTGACGAATATAAAATTATTTCCACAAAAACCACTGTTAAAATAACCTTATTAATTTACCGAAATCGCATGTAATTCATCCTTGTCTGTTTACCGAAACGGCAATATTTGCCTAGCTCGGGATTAGCCGGTATGTAATTTGTTTACCCTTACCTCACCGTCAAGCCAGGGGCAGAGTTGGGCCGTCCAAGGCGGAGCCCTTAACAATAGATCAACAACCCGCCAAGGCAAATTCGCTGTGTAATAATAGAGGGGGCATATAAAATCGAAAAACTCGCCAATTTAACCCCCAGTAGGGCTCTTCCACCCTTCGTGTAAGTGTGTGTGCCAAACCATGAACATGTCACGATCATTCCTCGTCGACTCCTTAATCTCCAACACCCCCAAAGAGATAAACTCGAGATATTTACCCCCGAATTTAAGTGACACAAGACCGATGTTGCCTTATCCACAAAACTACATCAGCAGTTACCTGTTTTCGTTAAGTCTCGCCCAAAACAACCAAGTTTTTACCCCCCACAAAACCCCAATTCGGCCAGTGGCATCCAGGGTTTTACCCCCAACGACAGCAAAAGTGGAAGTTTCGTCGGAGAAGAGTGTTTCACCACCAAGGAGTCGGGATTCAACACCAACTCCAGAAGAACGACTCACTCCCAGCAAAGAGACGTCGAGTAAGAGGATTAGGACGGCCTTCACCAGCACACAGCTGTTGGAATTGGAGAGGGAATTCGCGTCAAATATGTATTTGTCGAGGTTGAGGAGGATTGAAATTGCCACGTGTTTGAGACTAAGTGAGAAACAAGTCAAGATTTGGTTCCAAAATAGGAGAGTCAAGTACAAGAAGGAGGATCTACCAGCAGGGAAAAACATTAACAGTAAATGTTGCTGTTTAAGGACCTGCAGTTCGGCGAAAAGACCCAAGTTTGAGAGTAATTGTGATGAAGACATCGATGTTACTAATATTGACGACGACCACTGTCATTAGGGTGAATTTAAATTAAATAACTATTTTTCTAGAATTTTTAGTGTACATAAAATTGTATTTTATTGAAGCCAAAGTTTATTAATAAATTATTTTTAACAAAATAGTGTTTTTTTAACTATAGCGAGTTGGAAAAGTATAAAAAAATGTATAAAACATTGATAGATACTAATCTGGTGCATCGATTTTGCTTAGTTTTAGAAATAAGACATTTTTTTACGAAAACATGCACTTTTTAAAAATTTAATACACAAAAACTAAGACTTTTCTTTCAAATTACATGTTTTTTTGTAAAATTACACTTTTGTATTTATTTATTTCGTAATATTTACACTTGCAAAATAAAGCTTTTTTAATTAAATTTAATGGTGAAGCTTAAAGTTGAAAAGGTTTTCTGGGGTAGATTTATTAGTAAGTTTCGTTAAACTTCATTGTTTTTTACAATAAACTTACATTTTTGTATTTATTTATAAAAGTTTATTTCGTAATTTTTGAACTTGCAAAATAATTAATTTAATGAATTTGTTATGAAGGAAATTTTGTGACAAAATCCGTTTTTGACTAAAACACTATTAAAACGCTTTCTAAGAAACAAAAATAAGGTAATGTTGGGCTTAAATAGATAATTTTTCAGACTGTTTTAGTGTAATTTAAAAAAAAAAACAGAATTTAGTTCAAAAATGTCTGCATTTTGTGTTTTTTTGGTATATTTTTTGACGAAATTTATAAGTGGCTCGAAAAAGCAAAAATAACACAATTTTTGGTCAAATTTTGTGTTTTTTTCCTCCACAAAAATTATTAGTGAAAAAATTGTTAAAAACGTCGAAAACTGAGCAATTCTAGAGTAAATCGGGAAGAAATGAAACACGGGAGTTCTAAGTTCCAAAGTCCATCTATCCGATTGATCGATTTCTCCCCGATTTACCCTATTAATTTTTTTGTTAGTTACTTCTATTTGCACAAAAATTACTATTACTTAGTAAATCTATACAGGGTGTCTCAGCGAGTTCAAAAAGTCCATTAGTGACCTTCAAATGGTAAAATAAAAAATTATATAGGATATTGATAGATACTAATTTAGTTCATCACCTAAAATTATTTTCAACTATACAGCATGTTCCAAAAATAAGTTACAATACAAACTTGTGTTTTTTTTAATGAAACACCGTATGTTTCTTTGCATTTTTGGATGTAGCCTTTTAAAAAAATGTTTTTACGCTAAATTTTTATTATTCGATCTCGCTTAGTTTTAGAAATAAGACGTTTTTTTGACGAAAACATGCACTTTTTAAAAATTATTACACAAAAACTAAGAGAGTTAGAACAAATTTTTTCTTACTTCTGCAAAGAAGAAAGCACAAAATTTAAAGCAGTAGCAATTTTTTAGCGTTTTGCATTTGTAAAGATTAATAAATTAAGAAGTTTGTTAAAAGTTAAATAATTTAAACAATTTAAATAGAACTCCCTATTTTTTATTTTTGCATCTAATAGATTGATAAATTGTCTAAAAAACTAAACTTTTAATGTCTAGAATTGATAATTGAAAAGATATTTAACATTCAATATTAATTGTAGCAACAATGATTATCAATATCTGAGCATTGTTGATACTATGGCAATCATTGTAATTCCACCACGGATTACTTATCCGTTGATTTATTCAGAAATTGTAAAAGTCGTTAAAAATACTGAAATTCAAATTATTTTATTGTAAAAATAAAGAATAATGGATTCAGTTTAACACAAAAGTGATTATTAAGTGATATTTCTTCCATCTCTTGTGCAACTGTGCACTTTTTGGCTACTGAAACAATAGTAATTATTTTTTTTAATGTTTAACGTTAAATATCTTTTTAGTTATTGATTATAAACACCTAAAAGTAAATAATTTTAGATAGACAATTTAATAATCTTTTAAATGCAAAAACAATAAATAGGGTGTTCCATTTAAATTTTTTATGTTATTGAACTTTTAACAAACGCCTTCATTTTTTTATCTTTGCAAATGCAACACACTAAAAAAATAGTACAACCTTATAGCTTGTACCTTCTTTTTTGCGGTAGTAAAAAATATTTCTAGATGTCTTAGTTTTTGTGTAATAAATTTTTAAAAAGTGCATGTTTTCGTCAAAAAAACTGTCTTATTTTTAAAACTATGCAAAACATTTTCAAATCTTTGTTTTAACCTGAGACAAAACCGAGTGTCCTTTTCAGCACTTGACTTTCATTCGCAAGATTTGGAATTTGTCCCTGAAAAGCGTTTCATGAATGAAAACTTTGCTTGTAGTACCAGGACAATGCACAACACCTCCACATGAAAGCACCAAAGCCGACATTGTAGCCACTAATATATTTTAAATGTCGCTTTTGTGACTTATACCGACATGGTTGGTCACATTTTAGTGTTTGCTACCTATTATGAGTCAAGTTCTTTGCATAATGCCAACTTTTGTGCACAGGTGTTTAGAACTTTCAGTCTGTGGGAACTTTGACGAAAATAATCCATTACAAATTATAGAGTTTGAAAGGAATGAAAAAAATACCCCAAGTGTTCACTTTTGTGATTTTCAAGCGTTAAAACGTATTGAAGAGAAATCAAATGAAATTTTCATGAAACCAATTAATTATTTTTCATTTTCTTTTGAAGCACTGAACACTAGTTTCAGTATGATTAATTAGATTACAGTCTTACCTAATTAAAAAAAATATTGAAAGGTTGTTATTAATTATTTTTATTAAACTTATTTGTTTATAATATATTTTATTATTCTTACAATTTTCGGATACATACTAGTACTCTATATGCACATAAATAGAGCCATAATCTGACTTTTATTTACTATTATTTTATTTTTTATATACAGTATGTCCCCGATTCAGTTTACAAGAAGAAAAAAAATATCTTTGATTTTACGCGAAAACTGTAGAAGAAAAACATTTTTGGCTTCACCTGAAACGAACAAATCTGAAAATAAAACTTCATTATTCTAACTTATTAGAAAGAAATGATCTTTTTTTCTTAATTTAAGGTTTGTAATAATTTTTTTCTGTGGTTTTATTTTTTTGACAACGATGTCATTTTGATAAATAAGTTTACTTAATAACAAAATATTTGTAAAAAACATAATTTTAATAAAGAGCAAATCACAAAACAAAGTCATTAAAAAAACAATCAGTATTCAGTTAATTAATTAATTGTCAAAAAAAAAATAAAACCGCCAATGTGATAAAATTTAAACAGCAGAAAAAAAGTCCAAAATCAAGAGAAAAGCTATATTTTAATCAAAATAATGAATTGCAGTTTTGGCGTAAAATCAAACATTTTTTTTTCTCTTGAAAACTCAATCTGTGGTCATATTGTATATTTTTTAATAAACAGTTTAGTGATTTTTGGATCAGTTAAGGGAAATCGAAGATATCAAGTTTTTAGTTTAAAATTCTGCTTAGACTTTAAACAGAAATAAAAACGACATCATTTTCGGCCTAATTCTGTAATTTCTAATAAAATATTGCAAAATTATTGCGTTTCTAGCTGAAAAACGCGCTAAAATGCTTGAAAAATGCTAAAATGATAATATTTTTGACTTAACTTGTTGCTAATTTAGTTTGTTTTAGTAAAATCTCGCAAAAAAACTGAAATTTTAGTACAAAACGTACTAGAAAGCATTTTTGTCCAGATTTTGCTATTTTTTGTCTTATTTTTGTCCTCCTTTTGCTCAAAAATCAGTGAAACAAATTTTAAAAAAACATTAATATTATTTTTTAAAGATTTTTAGAACAAGATTTTGCAAAATTAATGATCCCATATGCTTTATAAATGAAGTAGCAAAGCAAAATAAACTGAAAAATAATATCAATTTCGATTTGGTTTTATACTTCTTTTATTTAATTTTTTTTAATTTTACCTCAAAAGTGTGCTTAAACACTTAAAGTGGCAAAATTAACACCATTTTTATCTTATTTTCTAGAATTTTTGAGTTGTTTTTAACAAAATTTTGCGAAATAATGTAGTTTTTGAGAAATGCAATGACATCATTATCGACTTAATTTTATGATTTTTTAGCATGTTTTTTTTAACAAGAACAATTAATATTCAGTTAATTAATTAATTGTCAAAAATAAAATCGCCAATGTGATGAAACTTATAAAGCATAAAAAATTGCAATTCCAAGTACAAAATCAAGAGAAAAATGAAATTTTCTTTCCACTAAGTCAAAATAATTGTTTTGCTTGTTTCAGATTAAGCAAAAAATGTTATTTCTCAACTGTTGATAAAATTAAATAATAATAATAATAAAAAATAAAAAAATATATAAAAAATATTTCAGTATAGTATTAAACTCCACTCGCTTTCGACCAACTTTCCCACTCGTTAAATAATATACTATTTTTTAGTGTGGCAAGTAAAATTTCATAATGTAACTAATAACAGGACATTATATTCCATCCTCTTTCATCCTCTGATTTGACGTTAATCTTGATCAAATTTGACAGCATTCACGTGACACATCTAAACTAAGACCTAAAAAGGATTTGACACACACATTTCCTATAATCCTGGATTTTCGAACAATATGTCCCTTAATATATTCAGTTTAAAAGCAATTTTCTACACATATTACCCCATTTCTATCGGATTATATGAGCATATTGTTTACCCATTGTGTACCTTTTTCCATTTTTGTAGTATACTTTCATGGGCCGTATCCCATTACACTCAACATTAGGTTATTAGTGAAGCAGACGGTCCTGAAACGTATACAAGGGGTGGATTAACCTGATTTACACAAATACCAAAAACAAAACGATTATTAATAATAATAATAACTTTATTTAACGGTAATATCCTTTACATTAAGTAATAATAAAATTATAATAGAAAACAAATCACATGAATGAATAAAAAGTATGGAACCAAACGTTTTTTGCTTAAACTATTTATTTTTTGAGAAAACTAATTGATGAGTGATAAAGTACTATAAAAATGTGATGATTTAACAAGA